CTCAACTGGCTTTAGATAAGCCAGTCCTTTATTAGTATATAAGTGCTTTGTTAGTAATTTTATTTCTCGAAGTGGAGTCGAAAGAGATGAGTTTTCAGTCTGCGCCGGAAGGTGTGTAAGCTATCTGCTGTCCTGATTTCAATGGGAGCTCATTCCACCATTTTGGAGCCAGGATAGCAAACCCACGTGTTTTTGCTGATGGGAACTTGGGTCCCCTTCGCAGTTAGGGTGCAGCGAGCCGTTTGGCTGATGCAGAGCGGAGTGCACGTGCTGGGGTGTACAGTTTAACCATGTCCTGGATGTAGGAAGGGCCAGATCCATTCGCAGCATTGTACGCAAGTACCATTGTTTTGAAGTGGATTCTAGCAGTTACTGGAAGCCAGTGAAGGGAGCGGAGTAGCGGAGTGGTGTGTGAACATTTTGGAAGGTTGAAGACCAGACGAGCCGCTGCATTCTGGATGAGCTGCAGAGGTCGGATGGCACATGCAGGTAGACCAGCCAGGAGGGAGTTGCAGTAGTCTAGGCGTGAGATGACGAGAGCCTGGACCAGAAGTTGTTTCGCTTTCTGGGTCAGGAGGGGAAGCATCTGTGGAAGCGATAGTGCTGTAAAAAGCATGACCAATCATCTGAGCCGGCCCGGCTAAAATAACTGGATGGCCTACCTGCCTGTCAGCCTTCCATCTGAGCACAAACTTATCTCGTGCCCTCATTGGTCATGTGCGCGTTCGTGTGTGTTGGAGGAGGGGCTCTGAAGGAAGGGGCAGATTTTTTTCGGCTGCGTACTTTCAAATCCTCTCCATTCTTAACTACCCTACCTTTAACTCTTCAAATCTATTTTTAAGTTTTATTTTGATGGAGGTCATGAACCTTTCTTGGCCTGGTTTGGTCTTCTCATCTTTCAATTGTGGTGGAAAAGGGACAAAATCTCCTAAAATGGTAAAAAAAAAGACGTCATCATGGTTCCACAGAATACCAAGTGGCTTTTCAACCTACAAAACATCGGGCCAGAGGCCATGAAGAGGAAATACGAGTGTGGGTCCACGGTGGAAGAAGGCGTGTTGGATAAAACCAAGTCAGGAAAAGTAACCATACTCCTTTCAGGTATATAAATACAAGGCAATGAGGAAATATAACACAATACAATGTTTATGTGAAATGCATAGTGATTGTACTAAAATACAAAACTAAGAAATGTGTCATTTCCTTTAAGTTTTTATAGCTCAGGGATCTTTCTACTTACTCGTAATATGAGTTACTCTACATATTATTTAAAGGGACCTTTGGGGTTTTTCATTCCTGTGTGTTAAATAAGATTTAGTGCATGTAAATGGTCTGCAAAGGCTAAAATCCCTGTATTCCCTCCCCTCTTATTATAGTAATCTTTTGTTGAAAATTCGTCATTGCTTCTTAAATATGAGGATTTGAAGCTTTTCCTTTGAAAAGGTGTAATCGTTTTGATTGATTTAACTTTTCATTATACATACTCAGGTGACATTGTTAATGCAGGACTTTTTTACAATGTGGTAATGTCTGAATACTTTCTTTAACACATTATTTTATATTCTATAAAGTAACTATCTTTAATAAACGAAAAACAAAGCAGTAGTATTCAAATGTTGATTGAATAAAATATGTCAGCCTAAAAAATACTCAAATTTGAAAGCAACCTTTAGGGGGTTTATTTTAAATATTGCTTTTCTAAATACATCTCTGTTCATTCGGGAAGTCTTTTAATTTGAAGCTGTGCTGTTTCTGCTCTTGATCCAACACCTCAACACTGAATCGATGTTTAAACCAGTAATATACAAACAGGAAAATGCATTTACATTTTTTTATAAGGTCAAAAGGAAGTGACCTGCACGCCTCCGCCTCCGCCTTCACCTCCATCTTCACCTCCATCTCATTTGCTCAGCTGGACTCTGATTGGTCTGCTGGCTCTGATGTTCCTGTACAGCTGTCTGATCACCGCTTTCTACATCAGACTGACGGTACCTGTCTCTCTGACCGTCTTTCTGTCATAATCCTGGGGTTGATCGTGTTTCCTGTTTTATTTTTGAATGTTTTTTCACCTGTCTTGTTTCACTTCCTGTGTCTGTGTTTTCCCGCCTTGCCAAGCTGTGACAGACGCAAATTGAGATGATTTCCCACATTTGATTGACAGGCAAGAGAGGGCTTTCCCCTTGTATCAGATGTTAATCAATCAATCTGTCATCATTGTCGTTGCCTACGTTACGCCTTACTGGCACAAAAATTCTACCGGCAGAGTATGATGCAAACTTTGACAAAGAAAAGGAGGCACAGCTACAAAAAGTCTGGGAAACTTTTGACTCATGTGTGAAGCCGGTGGAGCGCAATTCCCAGAGAGTTTTTTGTGACATTTGCTAGAGTTTCTAGCATCGAGGTGAATACTACTTGAAGTGTAAAAACGAAATGCAAGACCTAATGCATACGCTCATGGTTTATTTCTTAAGATATATGAAGATTATATTGAATAGTAGGGAATCAGGCAGGTACAAAACAACACCACACATCCGGACCCAGACAGAAAGAAAGACAACGAACACAAGACAGACTTATATACACACACAGGACTAATCACAAAGAGCTGGGGAGGACAGGCAGAAACACAAGAGTAGCAGGTGAAAAGAATCAGACCATCAGACAGGCGGGAAAACACAGAGACAGGGAATAAATGATTTACTAGGATCCACATTATCAATAATGGTCTATAAAACTATAAGTTTCAGTGCAGCGACACAGATCCTGAGAACACCACATACGTATACGAGGAAAGCTCCTCGGCCGTGTTCACCTGTGGACATCTACTGTGGGTAGCCATCGTTCTTCATCTTCGGCCTCATCATGTAATGAGGGGAGTTTTTAATGCCGCTGTTATCATAATTGCAAATATTTCTATTGTGAATGAGTCCTGCAACAACTGCAGATAAACCACAGGGTGAGACAGAGACTTTCTATGCTGGTATTATGTATGCAATGTTGCACCATGATGTTATAGATTTGATTGGATATATATATATATATTGTAATTTATTATGAATTTTAATTTTCTATCAATGCAATATTTTCTTACAAACTAAAAGCCACAAATATTTTATATTTAGACATGATATAAATGTAAGTGTATTGATACAGAACTATGCTATACAGAAAATACATGCATGTACAGTATATTTCTAGTCCCTATTTCGAAAAAAGTGAAGATTTATAACAATAAAATCTAAAATGAAGGTTTATAGAGGTCCTGTTATGTATTCTAAAAGGTATAATGGGCCTACTGCAAATCCTCTAACACAATTATTCTTATAGAAATCTGGTAATGAGTTTTCCCCTCACTGTCTGCAGCAGGAATGAGTCTCATTGAAGAGAAACACAGATCACTCTTCTCACGCTCACAGTGAATATGAGAGACAAGTAGGCTGACAAAAAAAACAAGCAGCCGGTGTCTGGCGGTCTGTGAACTGCAGGCATTGCAAACATGTCAGTGAGGGTGTGGGAATGCCGGTGGGGGGGGGGGGGGGGGGGGGGGGGGGGCAGAGAACACTATTATTATCTTTTTATTAATATGGTTTTATTATTATCCTAAAATAAGTTAATGTAGATGACTCAAAAGTATAATTGCCTGTATTAAAAAAAACGTCACAAAAGAAACAAACAGGTGCTTGTTACTCTGTTTGACAGAATGAGCACCCCTCCCTTCATTCATTGCATGGTATGGGCGCCTGAGCAATGGAGCAAGCGGAGCAGGTGCATCCCCACAATTGACCTTGGGGGAGCAAACGTGTGCTTTTGCACCCCCACTTTTTGATCATATGAAAAATATGATATGCCCCCCCAATATATCACTGTAAACATAAGTATGTAATTTCAATCGAATTAATAATACGCAATGAAAGAACTTGTGCTGATTATAGACACTTAATACTAATAGCGAGTTTTTAAGTTTCCAAAGATTGTGACCCCCCCCCCCCCCCCCCCCCGCATTTCGCTCACAATGGTTTGATCAACTGCCTCCCACCCACGCAGTCCTGATGCAGGTAGGCTGAGTGTAAATCACCGCGACCTGTCGTGGCAGACCTTTACAGTAAGTTGTTCAAACAAAGAATATGTTAGACATATCTTTACTTCTACCACTCAATACAATAAAACACATTTATAATCATCACCTTCTCTTCATTTTCGCTGCATTGAATTACAGGTCACTCTTTATGTTAGCTAGCGGTTAGCTGACGTTTGCTAGCTAGCTAGTAACATCAACCAGTGTGTGTGTTTGACTAGCTAGCTATCTGGTAGATCGAAGCCCATAAGAGTTTGAGTTTATTAGGATCCCCATTAGCTGTTGCATGACAACAACTAGTCTTCCTGGGGTCCACACAAAACATAAAACATTACATTCGACAAGACTTTTACAGAACAGAAAATAAAAAACTGATTTCCGAAGTCCATTTTCCTTCAAGCATTGACTTTCATATTTTCCATCATATACCACTTATTTTCTGATTCCATTTCATTGGAAAGAAAATAATGATAATGATAATAAAATAAGAATAAAGTAGGCTACTTATATCTATCTATATTTACAGATGCCAGCCTTCAATTCTCTTAAGGTACAACTACCTGAAATGAAAATAAAAGAAGAATGAATTATAGAATGATAGAAGATAATATGATAGAAGCCCATCTCCTACTGTAACTAACCTGCACACTGTGTGTGTGTGTGTGTGTGTGTGTGTGTGTGTGTGTGTGTGTGTGTGTGTGTGTGTGGTGTTGTGTGTGTGTGTGTGTGTGGTGTGGTGTGTGTGTGTGTGTGTGTGTGTGTGTGTGTGTGTGTGTGTGTGTGTGTGTGTGTGTGTGTGTGTGTGTGTGGTGTGTGTGTAGCCAGACAACCAGGCAGAAAAAAGAAAAAATCATGTATTCAACCCAGTTCAGTGTACTCATAAGTGTATTGCTCTCCTTAAAGTAGAATGATATGGTGACTGCAGACTCAGGGAGGAGGCAGAGAAGGAGAGAAAGAGACACAAGAGTTACAGGTAATGGAAATATCAGTCAGCTTAAAGTGTAGGATAACATAACAAATTAAGACACAAATACTTGGATAATATATTCCCCCCTCTCTCCCTTTCTTTACAGAGTAGCATAAAGATTGTGTATTCAAACCAGTTCAGTGTACTCATAAGTGTATTGCTCTCCTTAATGTAGAATGATGTGGTGACTGCAGACTCAGGGGGGAGGCAGAGAAGGAGAGAAAGAGACACAAGAGTTACAGGTAATGGAAATATCAGACAGCTTAAAGTGTAGGATAACATCCCTAGTCAAAAAATGCTATAGGAATCTCTATACGTTTTTGGAACCCTATAGGAATCCTTTAGGATCCCATAGGATTTTCAGACAGTTCTGTGCTCTATATTTCAGGAAATTGCACGTACAGGTGTTCATTAAATTTAACAAAATGCTGCCATGGAGGTGGTCGTGCCTGACCCACTCCAAACCACCCCTTGCCTGCCAGTTACTAATCTTGCACCCCCACTTTCAACTATAATATCATATTATTATATTATAATATTCACATTTAGTTACTCTAGTTCTTCCAGTAATTGCAATACCATTGACCACTGGTACATTAAATTGAGGTTGTTACAGTAGCTATAGCTAGATTTGAGCAATTGGAAAATATCTATACAAATGATTATTATTATTATTATTATTATTATTATTATAACAATTAAGAGATAGCTCGAGCTGTACTGTGTTATTACTATTATAGGGCATTTTATAAATGATGTACACTATGGATACTCTAGAGCCAGGGCCCTCGAGCAAGGCAGCCAACGAGGAGAGCAGAGGTGAAGAGGCAGAAGTACCAGTACAAGAAGAGGTCGAGGACCATGAAAGCAGCACAGATGAGGAGGAAGCAGCTATGGACAGTCAATGTCAGGGACAAAGTGAGGCTCCGACACAGGATGCCACAGATACTGAGCCACCTGTAGTGGTGTCTGAGGTAGAAGATCTGCTATCACTTGACCCAGGGTTGTTCCCAGCTAGGATGAGTGACAAGGACAGGGCAACTATTGTAAAGAAATTAGCAATGCGAGAAACAGATCAAGAATTTCCACATGATTCAAAGGGAAAGAGATTTCCAGATTACTTGAAATACACCAAAGCAGATAAGGGTAGGGGTAAAGTGAAAAGGGACTGGTTGATTCACAGTGAAAGTGCAAATGCACTGTTCTGCATACCATGTGTTCTTTTCTCCAAGGAGCAAAAAATACCCTCTCTTAGTGCTTTGAGTAGTGACCAGGGATACAAGATGTGTGACGTCGAGTGGCGTCGCATATATGATAAATTCCCAAGCCATGAAACAAGTAGGAATCACAGGGACTGTTATTTGCGATGGAAACACCTACAGTGTTCGGTTATGACTGCATGTGGCGTTGATCATCAGTTGCAGAGAGAGCTACAGTCTGAAATTGAGAAAAACTAAGCTATCTTGCAGAGACTCCTTGATGTCACTCTGCACTTGGCAACGAGGAATTTAGCTTTCCGAGGTAAAACGCATGCTTTGGGCGATTTCCACAATGGACATTTTGTAGGTACGCAAGAACTTTTGTCACGATATGATCGACTCTTGAAAGACCACTTAGACAAAATCAGGACATCCAAAAAAGGAAGCCGGCTAACTCATTATCTGAGCCCAGACATCCAGAACGAGTTTATTGAATTGTGTGGGGGAAAGGTTTTAAAAACCATTCTGACGGAAAGGGAGGATGCCATATACTATGGAATCATTTGTGATGCAACGCCTGACATTTCCCACACCGAGCAAAATGTTGTGCTCATAAGATATGTACATTATAATGAAGACACAGGCGAATGGGAGATCACTGAAAGATGTATTGAATTCAAAGATTTCAACGGAAAAACAGGATGTGAAATAGCAGGCACGCTTTTATTTTCAAGGCAGTTTTTACAGGCCTCTACCGTAATGCATAGGATATTCGTGCACCGCAATACAACGTGCGGGCTGGCTTGACTGTGTTTTCCGAAGTGGGGGCTGGCTTGACCACAGTCTGTTTACCCAGTGTTTCCTGGCATGAAACGTTTTATTTCACCTTGCTATGTGTTTTTAATGTATATTAAAAAACGGGGACATTTCCGGGGACAGTTTCAACCGGGGACAGGCCAATACAAACGGGGACTGTCCCCGGAAAACGGGGACGTCTGGTCACCCTAATCTAGCATAAAATCCCAATAAACTGCTAGCAACTGCAAAACACTAGTGCTAGCTAATGTTTTGCAAACTATAAAAAGTGAGGCTATTACAGTAGACCGATAGTTACGGCTGTAACTACGGTTCTATGAGTCCCGGATGACCGCCAGAGGCGGTGCTTGTAGCACTGGATATGTCCATCGCACGCATGCGCAGTTCGAGTACCAATAACAACAAAGTCACCTGTGACCCACGTGACTACGGCTACATAGGCCGGCGTCACTAGTGGGTCGGTTCCTAGAATCTTCTCGCGAGCACACAATAATTCTGAGTGACCGGAAACTCTGGCGGTCATCCGGGACTCATAGAACCGTAGTTACAGCCGTAACTATCGTTCTATTTCGTCCCTACTGACCGCCAGAGGCGGTGCTTTTAGCACTGGATGACTATACCAACCATGTCATGAAGAATCCGAACACTTGCTTACCTAGCATTTCAAAGTGTTGTTCGACGCTCGGCATAACCCTCGGCGCACACTCAAAGTCTAAGTCTAAGTTAACTTTTGGAAGAACCAGAGAAAGGGGTGAAAATGGATAAAATGTATCCGAAAATAGTGTCTCATTATTCCGTGACAACTCCCCTTGAATTCATCCAGAGACCAGTTCAAAAACTTAAAGTTTGGTAAGAACCATGATTGGGGGTCCTCCAGGCAACAACTGTATCCGATCCAAAGTGCTCATGTAGCGGATGCATTCCTCCATGATTTCCCCATCATGTGAAATAGCCCGTTTTTTTTCTAAGCGCTCTCAAAAACCGGGTTTCCGATTTCGTGCAAATCGTAGCTTGGAAAAGATTAATTCATTTTTTGGACGGAGGAAGGGAGGTCTCGATTCCCCTCTCCGTTGTAAAATGCAACGGGGTAGTGCAAATGTCTCCGGGGCTTCCGCCGGAAGCCCCTCCTCCGTTGGCACTTAGCCGTTTTTTCGAGAATTTTTTTTAACTTCATTTTTTATTATTTTCAGATATAATTGACCGTTTTCTTTACTTTTTTTTGCTTTCCACGGGTGGGGGCGCATGGCAGGCCGCCTATGAGCTCCCAAATTCGGCCTGGAACCTCCGGGAATTGTGGGCTAAGCTCAATAAACTGACAAAGTCACCCAGAAATGTCACTTTAATAGCCAAAAAATATATAATACAAATACATTTAAATAGTAAAAGGTACAATTGTGCTCCTAATTACCCGCAATTTGATTTATATAGCCCCATGATAGTGAATACAAATCATTTTCATGTGAAAAAAGTGTTAAAATGCCTGATTAATATGTTTGTAATGCTGGCAGCAGGTTCACTGCTGTAAGCAGGGTCCCACACTCACAGGCAGAGATCCAGGGTGATGCACATGGCTTTCTTACCCAGGAATGAGTGTGTGAAAGCTGGGTAAAAGTGCTGTGAATACAGGGAGGGAGAGAGCAGCAGCAGCAGCAGCAGCAGCAGCAGCAGGCTGTGACCCAGAGAGCTTGAAACATGTCCATTTCATCCACATTTGACTACTCATGAAATGTACATTAAATGTACAGGAATCTGTCCATTTCATCCACATTTGACTACTCATGAAATGTACAGCAGAGTCACTGCTGTAAGCAGGGTCCCACACTCACATGCAAACAGGCAGAGATCCAGGGTGATGCACATTAATTTCTTAACCAGGAATGAGTGTGTGAAAGCTGGGTAAAAGTGTTGTGAATACAGGGAGAGAGGAGGAGCAGCAGCAGCAGCAGCAGCAGCAGGATGTGACCCAGAGAGCTCCTTCCAGCACCTCTAATGCAGAGTGGAGTGCACGTGCTGAGGTGTAGGGCTTAACCATGTCCTGGATGTAGGAAGGGCCAGATCCATTCACAGCATGGTACGCAAGTACCAGTGTCTTGAAGTGGATTCTAGCAGTTACTGGAAGCCAGTGAAGTGAGCGGAGGAGCGGTGTGGTGTGGGAAAATGTAGGAAGGTTGAAGACCAGACGAGCCGCTGCATTCTGGATGAGCTGCAGAGGTCGGATGGCACATGCAGTTAGACCAGCCAGGAGGGAGTTGCAGTAGTCAAGGCGTGAGAGCGAGAGCCGGGACCAGAAGTTGCGTCGCTTTCTGGGTTAGGAGGGGACGTATCCTCCTGATGTTGTAAAGAGTGTATCTTAGTAGCGGGTTGTAGCAGCGATGTTTGCAGTGAAGGACAGGTTGTTATTTAGGGTCACACCCAGATTCCTTGCAGTCTGAGTCGGGGAAACAACAGAGGGGCCGATGTTGATTGTTAGGTCAAGAGTGGGAAGAAAAAGCAGTTCAGTCTTGTCAAGGTTGAGCTTGAGGTGGTGAGCAGACATCCACTGAGAGATGTCTGCTAGACAAGCAGAGATGCGTGCGACGACCTGGGTTTCTGAACGGGGGAAAGACAGAATTACTTGGGTGTCGTCCGCGTAGCAGTGGTATGAAAAACCATGCGGGCTAATGACTGATCCGAGCGAGTTTGTGCACAGAGAGAAGAGGAGGGGACCAAGGACAGAGCCCTGAGGGACCCCTGTAGTTAATTGACAAGGGTCAGACTCGGACCTTCTCCAAGTTACCCCGTAGATGCGGTCTTTGAGGTATGAGGAGGTAAAGTGCAGAGCCTGAAACTCCAAGTTATATCTCACACAGGCTCCGCCCTCTACTGGACTCTATGGGTATTACCTCTCAACCATACTATGTGGCGCAGTATGTCTCGCCGGAAGAGGCGGAGGACCGGGACCTCGAGGTGGTGGAGATGCAAGAGCAGGATGTCGATGTGCCTTTCGTGTTCGCCATGCCAGCGGGCCGGGCGGCCCAGTTCGTCGAGGAGGAAGACGACGACGCCACCTCGTTGTCTGATGCTTCCGTGGGCCGGCCTCCAGGAGGGTCCACAGCACAGGTCTGTGCGGCAGGACTTCCCAGCGGTGATGACTATGGCGGCGGAGCGTGCAAATTTGTGAAATCCTGAAATATCTGGATAAGATGTTCAGGCTCGGGACGCAGATGGCAGCAGCGGCCAATAATCTTGGCGTGTTGGGTGTCTCACTGATCACCCCTCAGCAGGACATCCCCGCCTACCCGCCTTTGGACTGCTGCTCGGGCCAGACGGTAGATGGGCCAGACGGTATGGCTACCGCAGCTTGACGTGTGATGTCCCTGGCCACAGTGGCGTCGCGTCACGTGTGGCTGGGTCTGACCGCAGTGTCCAAGAAAGACCGGGATAATCTCCTTGGGGCCCCCGTATCCACAGAAGGGCTCTTCAGGTCGATCACCTCGGTCACCCATCGCTTCAGTCGCTTGGAGGAAGAGAGGGCACAGCTCAGCCGCATTGCTGCCACTGGCTCGTCCTCAGGCTCTTCCTCGGGGGGGAGAGCGCTCGGCGGTGGTCAGAAGGAGAGAGAGGCGCCGGTATAGAGCCCCCGGGGCTCCCGTTGCTCCCTCTGCCTCCGCGGTTCGTCCCGGAGAACCAGATCAATACCGGCACTCGCAGGGACGGGCTGACCGACCCCGACAGGCTCCCGCTCTGGCTCCGCTTTGGAAAGGGCTTCAGGGTGGGGTGCACCGTCCACCAGAAGCTGACTGGCCATGGGAGATAGCGTCCCGGCGGAGAGAGTCACTTTCTCCACCCAGGACGCGTGGGCGAATCCCGCCTCCTCCCTGTATGATGCTGCTGTTGTGACACGATCATCTTTTAAAAATAAAAATGATTGCATGTATCCCAGTCTAAGTGTAATTTCTCTCCACAAATCCACACTTCCACATAATGTTAACCGTACAGATTCCCCACTCGCTGCCCCAGTTGTAACTCCAGTAAAGGAAGCAGCTAGTGGGCTTGCGCATGTGAGAGTGATAAACTGCGCTATGGTACAGGGACATTATGGCCGGCGTAGCAGGGTTAGGACACACACAACGCCGAGTGTAAAAATTC